GTATATGTGTATCAAAACATCATATTGTGGGGGTTGGGGTTGTAGCTCAGAGGTAGAGCACTTGCCTAGCACATGTGAAGCACTGGGTTCAAACTTCAGCAACACATTAAAAAAATAAAGATATTGTATCCATCTACAACTAAAAAATATTATTTTAAGAAATTCATGTTGTACATGTCAAACCTGGTGAAAAAACAAGCAAAAATAACCCTCCCAAGGTTTGAAGATGCTACTAATGGTTTCCCACTAAGACTTCTGATGAGGCTGCTCAAAGGCTAAGATTCCAAATCCTCTAATAAGGTTGGTTGCTCCTTTCTCAGAACAGTATAATTTGCAAAATTCCTTGTTACCTCTGTTATTCATAACCAAACAGATACTTCAGGTATGCTTTTTTCATGCAATGGCCTCCCTTGATTGCAAAATAGTCTTCTTTTAAGATAGTTTATTAAGCCAGAACAAGCTAATTTGTCTTAAGCTTATAATGGGTGGCAATAGATTTTTAATCAAGTTGAGGGCACTGGAAATCTAGAAGGTGAGGGTTGAGGAACACACTTTATTTTTTATTGTTTTTTAAAATTCTTTTAGTTGTAGGTAGACACAATACCTTCATTTTATTTATTTATTTTTATGTGGTGCTGAGGACCAAACTCAGTGCCTCATCTATGCTAGGCAAGTGCTCTGCCATGGAGCTACAACCCCAGCCCCTCTTATTGATTTTATATGTCAATACATTCCCAGTTTTTAAAATAGTTGTATTTTCTCATCCTGTGGCCCATATGGATTTGCATACAAAATCAGAAACTCACAAGTAGATTTTCCATTTGTTCAACATTTGCTCCTGACTTTCTGGGCCAGATTTAATGAAACTCAATCAGAAAATATATTTAAACTCAATTAACCTTCTTGCTGTGAGATGATTATTCTTATTTGGATTTCTCCACAAGATACAAGACAGTCTATCTCTGTGTATTTAACTACTATGGATAATAGTCACATTTCTCCTTTACCCATTCCCACAGTACTGTGGCTATGCAAACCAAGAAGGAAAGGTATTATTAGATGAAGCAAGTAGTGTGATTTATGACACTTATGAATTCTGGGGAAAGTAGTGAAGTACAAGCATATTAGTAAATAAAAGATCTGTGAGTCCTTAGATGGCTTCACCAACTATTCAAGTCTGGTCAATTATTGCCTTTAAACTCGCAGATCTGTGTTAGGATGCTTTCAGTATGGCTTATTTAGACAGCTCTATTTCATGGCTGTACAATTTGTTTTCTTTGTCTGAAACAATATAGTCAGAGACCCCTTGAAAATGCCAGACATTAAGTATCATAATGGTAATTCCTATGAGTGAGCCTGATTTGATTCAGCGGAAAATGACTTCATTGTATCAGATTGACAGTTCATTTAGTGGGTTCTATGCTATAGATGTCGGTACATTAGTGTGAACCTGGTGCAGGTAGTAATTTGGTTTCTAATGAGGTTCCTGATCAGCATTCTACTATGAAAAGTAGGATATTGTTCTTTGGGTGCTGAATTTACCTGGATAATCAGACCTAAGAAAATTGACAGTTGTATATCACAATAATACTATGACTACTTGACTTTTCTGGGACTTGGTTTCTATTTCTGTAATGAGTAGTTTGGACTAAGGCCTTTGAAGTTCTGAACCTCTTAGTAAAATAACATCACATGACAACATTTCGGGCAATGATGGATCACTTGTATGATGATGGTCCCATAAGATTATAATGGAGCCATCATAATGTCATACTACAATAAATTGCTCTTGTATTTGTGGTGATGCTGATGTAAAGAAACCCAACTGCACTGCCAGTCATATAAAAGTGTATACACAGCTCAGCACAGTGGACATGCCTTTAATCCCAGTGACTCGGGAGCCTCAGGCTGGAACATTGCAAGTTCAAAGCCAGCCTCAGTAACTTAGGCCTCAAGAAACTTAGCAAGATCCTGTCTCAAAATAAGAAATAAAAAGGGCTGGGGATGTGCTCAGTGGTTAACTGCCCCTGGTTCAATCCCTAGTACCAAAAAAAAAAAAAAAAAAATACGTACAGTACATGATAATTGATAATGATAACAAATGGCTGTTACTTGTTTATGTATTTGCTATAATTTTTATTATTATTTTAGAGTATGCTCCTACTTACAGAAAAGTTTGCTATAAACAATATGCCATGTTATGCCTGCAGCAGCCTCATGCATCTCTTCATTGCATTAAGGTAAGATTGATACATAATCTTGCATGCATGAAATTGTCACAATGAATTCCATTGTTTTGTACAATTAATATGTACTAACAATTTTGTAAAAAATAGCATACTAAGAGGGGTAAAAGAAAGCATTAAGAAGCTAGTTTTGTATTTGACCTACATGCCACCTAGATTTTTGTAAGTACACTCTGGTATTCTCACAATGATGAAATCACCTAACTACACATTTCTCAGAATGTATTTCTGTCATTAAGTAACTCATGGCTGTATTTTATTAGTCATCTTAGGAAATAATCTGTTTTAAGATACATGCTTTCTAATAAAGACAGATTTTCACAGGTCATTCGTGCTATGACCTGTACTCCCTACCAAAACTGGCTACACAAAACATTGTCTGACTGCTGAATCATATTTCTGAATGTCTTACCAGCAAGGTACCAACTTATATTTTCTAGAACATTTGTATATGGAAAAGCCTTGTGATATAGAGATGGTATCTTCCTATGGAAGAAAGGGCTGGCATGCTTGTGGCCCATTCTAGAAAATTCTATAAGCTTGAGTTCTTTAAGCTCAAGGTTCCCCGGCTGTAATGCAATTCACTTCATGTTCAGTTGTCATTTGACCCACTTCACATTGCTCCATGGGAATTGGGCCTCCAGAACCAATGCAGAAATGCTGATAGTCTGTTTATTGCTATTGCCATGAATATTAAATTTTCTTTAATCCAGAAGTTTCATTTTCTGCCAGCATCCATGAAACTGTGCTAGTCTAACTTGATAGTTTGCAAGTTGAATAAAATCTCAGACCCTTCACCGTTTTCTAGAACAACCTTAGCCATCTTCACTTTCCTCTTTTCTTAACATCATAGCACCTAACATCTGATTAATTTAACCCAAAATACATTTTTTGTGGTACTTGCTGTTGAACCCGGGGCCACTTTACCATTGAGCTATACCTTCAGTCCTTTTTATTTTGAAATAGGATATCACTAAGTTACCCAGGCTGGCCTTGAACTTGGGATCCTCCTGCCTTGACCTCCCAAGTTGCTGGGATTACAGGCATGTGAAACTGTGCCTGGCCACATTTTATCTTTTATTTGTTTTATATGTTAATTTTATTTCCCAAGTATGTTGTAAACTTTGAGACCAAGCCAATACTTTTCTGTCTACCTGGTAGCAGCTGGTACAAGGATGCATACATAGTAGGGGCTCAATATGTTTTTTGATAGACTTTGATTGTATCTGTGCCAGCTGAAATAAAATATTACATAATTTTTACCATTGAATTTCTTGGCTTGGATGTCTGATAATGGATGGAAACTATAGATATACTCTCTTGAGAAATATAAAAGCTATAATGAGACAGGGGGAGTTGACTGTTTCTCTGGCATTCCTCAGTCAGTTGGACATCATTGATTTAGTGGCACAATTTCAAAATGATTTTGAGCCCCACATTTCAGAAAGTATCAGAGGCAGTTTGTTATTCTGGGCTATTAATAATTAACATGTTTTGTCTGTGAAGAAGTAGAATATATTCTGTTTTGTAGAATTCAATGGCCTTGGGAGATCATCTGAACCAGCCTCTACCTTCAGCATCAATGGGAGATCATTTCACCTTTGACAGTGACCTCAGAAAAGGGTTTGACTCCCTGTGAGTGCAATCCTCAAAGATATTTATTCTTATAAATATCCTACTAATAGCTCATTATACCTAAACAGAAATACATATATATGCATTCTCATTTGGCTTATTGTTTCTAATAGTCTGGATTATTTTTACTCAAATAACTTATTTTTCTCCAAAGAACTATGGAGACACAATGGGTTTTCTACCTTTAGTGCGAAAATATTAGAACCCAGAACTCTTTCTTATGGTTATAGTCTGAGGATACACTCCATAGTCCCATAATTTTCTTTTTGGAAATATCAGGACTGCAACACATTCTCAACTGAGTCTTCCTGAGATCAACTGATTACAGATGTGACATGGTTATCATTTTCTAACTTTAGCTTTGAAAATCTGGCATTTTCTAACTTTAGTTTTGTGAATTTAGGCTGTTTCTTCTCATTTAGAAAAAAAAAAATCCTCCTATTTGAATTTGAGTATGCTGCCACCAAGTGTTTGCCAGTCTTTGATTTGTACTGTTTTAGTGCTCAAACTACAGGTTGTGTTATTTTCTTTATTGATGGTATGAGTGTTAATATTGTGGAGGATGCCTGTGAATAGGTAAAGGTAACAGACATCAGGAGTTAGGGTCAATCTTCATGGAATGGCAGGAAGACACTGAAGCACAAAAAATGGGCTGTCCCTTAAGGAAGGGAGAGGAAAGGCAGTCTGAAGTCCAAGGAATGAGATTAGGGAGTTGTAGGGAAGGAAACAGGGGAATAGTGAAAAAGTAAAATGACCCACAGTTAAGAGAACTGCATCACTGAAGCAATTTTTCATCTTTTGTTTCTATATAGTTCCTCTATTTGTACTGGGAACTTTGAATATAAAGACAGAAGTATTGTCTTGAGCAGGATTATGTGTTGTATATCTTCATACACTCCACAGGGTCTAGTATAGTGTTGGGCATATACTTGGCCCTTAATAATTGTTCTTTGAATAAATCGCCCAAACCTGCAGGAGTTAAGACAACACGTAATGGTGGGGTACAGTGCTGGCCTGAGACACATGGGCAGTTCCCAATGAACAGATCTTGAAAGTTTCCTTTCTCTATCAAACTGAGGCCCTGTGCAACATTGACTGGCTCTTTTTTTTCTTTCTTTTTGGCAGTACTGGGTTTTGAACCCAGGGCCTTGTGCATGGAAGGCAAGCACTCTACCAACTGAGCTATATCCCTGCCCCCCCGCCATTGACTGGCTCTTATGATCAATCTTTCAAATTAGAATCTTCTCCAAATTTTCTGAGTAAGATATTTATATACCTTCTCTTCTCTCTCCCTTTACCTCTCCTCTCCTGTTCTCCTCCTCCTCTTTCTTCTTCCTCCTCTTCCTTTAAATGGCAGATCCAAGGATTTGGCAGTGTCCTTCCTACTTTTGAACCTGTTTGAGTGGTTGGAGACAAGGGACACATGGAAGCTTTTTATTGGTGCACATGAAACCTTAGGCTTCTTTTACACATAAGTATGTAGGGAGTGGCTAGATAAGGCTTTTAAAAGTGAATATAAAAAGAAAAGTGAGGATTGTTATATGTTGATGTTTCCTGGAATTAATATCCTGACCATGTAGTTCTACCCCAGAAGGGGATTTACTTTAACATGGCACATACTTTATCAAGTAATCTTTGGTCTGGATCAGTATATGATCACATAACTAGTTTCTCAATATACATGCTTGGGTTTCATTTCTTACACACTATAATTTATGAAAACCTGGTGAAAGTTGCCTTGATATTGCTGACCCTAATATGGACATTAAATCCACGAGGACAATATTTTTAGTGAGCAAGTGTGTTAATCTATTTGGCGCCATAAATATTCACATCTTTAATATATAGTTCCCCACACAGGGTTCAATGTAGAGATGTGTAGCATAATAGATGAATATGTGGGCTTGGAAATCAGATATGCCTGAGTCAAATTTTACCTCTGCCTCATAGGAGCTGTTTCATGTTGGACGTATCACTTCACCTCTCTGTGCTTCCAGTTACTAATTTGCAAAATGGACTAAGATTAATAGCTTTATGTGGTTGTTATGAAGTCAAATGGCAAGATGCATGTAGTGCTCTTAGCACAGTGCTTAGTTTATAGTAAGTATATGAGCTTTTAAGGAAGAAATGTAAATTTCTTCCTAAAACATGAAACTTAGAAAGCAATGGCCCTGGGTACTGTCTATCTTGCTTACCACTAGGTTCGTGTCTTCAGTTTCTGAGGCTTGTGAAGATTTTCTGGACACAGAGGCTCAAGTTATCATCTCCTACCCCACAGGAGCAGATGGGAGCTTTTACACTAAATAGGATGTCATTTTGAGTCATCATTGTTCTAATTTCTTTAGATATTTCTGAAGAATGATAGGATTGCCTTTAGTTTAAATTTCCCTCCTTCCCAGATAAGTTTTCCAAATGCCCACCTCCCATTTCCTCAATCAAGGCCAGAGTTGAAGGAAACAGGCCTTTAACCTCCAACAGGCTGAGAGCACCATTTGAGCTCAGGAACAAATTGTATTGGAAAAGCAGCAAAATCACTGAAATGAATTGTCATGAAATGGGGCTTCAAATGAAAGCACAAGACAGAGCCTGGTCCTAATTGGCAGTGGAGTTAGTTAAGAGGCTAATTCCAAATGCTCCATTGTGGAACTTTTATAACATTCTCCCCACTTCTCTCTTCCCTCCTTCCCCAAACCACTTCCTTTGACCCTCACAGCTTTTGGAAGGTGATGATCATTAGGCTGGTATAACACTGAGTTATTTCAATTTTTTAAAAAATCTATAATCTATGAGCTATGTGCAGGCACAGAAAATGTCTGAACCATGGTACAATTTGAAATGTTCCTTGTATGAGGGTGATTAATGATCCCCCAAATATGTCCACATACTAATCCTGGGAACCTGTGAATATATTACCTTAAATGCTAAAGGAAATTTGAATAGGTGGTTTAGTTAAGAATCTTGATATGGGAGGATTGTTAAGGAATATTGAATTGAGCTTAATATAATCACTAAGGTCCAAATGGAAGAGACAAGAGAGAAGTCAGAAATAGATGATAAAATAGAAGCAGAGATTAGAGTGATGACTTTGAAGATGGAGGGAAGGGTCAAAAGCCAAGAAATCCAGGCAGCCACAAAAGCTGAAAAAGGTAAGTAAATAAATTTTCCCTTCAAATTCTCAAGAAGAAACCAGCCCTACCTACGTTGTGAATAACCCAATGAGAACCATTTTAGACAATTGGCCTCCAGTATGATAAAAGAATAAATTTGTATTGTTTTAAGCCAGTCCCCCAAATTCTCTCAGATATGTTGTAGAGCTAGAAATTATTTGTATTAGAATTATTTTTTGTTCACATTATTAAAAGACATGATTATTAAAAGCTTTCACTAAAATGCAATGGGAAAATGTGTTATGCAACATTGAGCCCATTTGTGCTTTGGTCTGACTGGCTGGCAGAGAGCACTGCAGGAAACCCAGGATACAGGGTCTTCTGGAACTTGGGGCATTGAATCAAATTTATGGGTGGGATATTTGTGACTGATCCGTGTAGTTGGATGTAACAAGTGATACCTGGGATGAGAGATTGCTAAAAGGGAAGTGAGAGCTTAAAAACTAAATCCCATTTATCACACTTTTCCCCACATCTGCCCAGTGAAAAACTGAACACTTTGGCTGTGAGCATCATCTGTGTGACTAATTCAGCTTCAAACCTGTTCCATAGAGCTCCTGGAATAATGTTTTGTGTTTGCCTAGTGTTATAAACTTTGACTTGGAAACTGGCTGCTCTTTTTTCGGCCCCTGTAGGATTTGGTCTCCTTCTGGTACTCTGACATCTTGCGACTTCTACTGCCTATTGTGAATTCCTGGTCTTCTCTAACTTCAGATCTTTGGGCTAACTGCAGATACTTTTCCATTCTTTGTTAGAGCCTTGTATTTCCTGCTTCTAAGAGTCCTTTGCCTTAACCTTTGCCACCTAGCCCCTGGCACCAAAGCCACCATCAAATCCTGATCAGGAGACCTCCTAGATTCTTTGAGATGACACTTTCTGAGAGAAAATTCTCCTTTCCACTGTATGCACACCCAGGGCATTTTGGCCCAGTAACAAGTAGCAGCTTTACAAATGAAGAATCTTCCACCCAAAAACCTGCCTTGTCTGCAACCAACACACTCCATCACCTCCCTTTCTTACCTCTGATCTCACCTCCATATTACTGGAACAAAACTCAGGAAAACTGAGAGGCTTTGAGCCCATTAGTAGCTTTACCCCCTCATCTCCACTTATGGTTTGATGAATATGAGGAGCATGGACCTGATCAATTAGACCTTTAAAGATGCATATCAGAGCTATATAGCTAATGTAGTTTTCAATTCAGGAAGGAGAGATTTCCTTTTTCTGAGATCTGTAGCTTCAGAATAGAATGATACCTCTCAGTATAGGCCTATAGTATAACATGTGTAACAGATTCACTTATTAAACTATCAGATGGCTTCAGGAAAATCCATCCAAATGTGAGTGCTGATTTCTCAGGAATTGGACAATTGAGCCCAGGTATTATAAAGGAGCACCTCTGACTTGTTTATGGGTCTAAGCTTACAATTACAAGAGCCCAAGAATATCAAGTAAGCCATATTGAATTTTTAAAAAGCAAATGATGTGAAGAATTTGAGTGGTGATAGAACAGACAGAACAGACTGCATTGGAATAAAAGTCTTTGGAATTCAGGAGGGCCTACTGGGTCAGGTGAAGCCTGGGCTGAGACAGAGATGTAATCATTTATTTAATGATTTGGTTTTTATAGGCTTGAGTACATGGTGGTTGGACTCCAAGTAAGTTCAAAATCAGATCATACCACAGAAGGATAAGAGCAGGTAAATATAAGTATCCATAATAACAACTGAACCAAGAACCAGATCATTGGTCAAGCATGAGGGAGGCAGTTGACCAATGGTCATCCAAGGAGATATCAGTTGGCAGAGTACATATAAGCTGTTGATCAATTATCAAGGAATTATGGCAGTATATATTAGGGATTCATATCAGAGTTCAGACTAGGAAATACTTTTGTATGGAAATTCAGTATCAATACTGGGATACACGTCAAGAAATCAGACACAGGAAAGGAAAGATATTGTGGGGTTGCCAGCACCCCACCAAGGTAGGTTCCTCTATCCCAACTCAGGAGGTGTGAGCTGCCTGAGAAATAGTAAGTCTGAAATAATTACTAAGAAATAGAGACAGAGCCAGAAATTAGATAAGTAAAGCATCTGATAGGTCTTCCAATCCTGATAGGATCTGGAACTGAACAACTGAAAAATGGCCCCAATTCTTTAATTAATTTAATTCTTTATTTAATTAATTTATTTAATTCTTTATTTATTGATTCTTACATCAAAGGCAGGGATAAAGTTTCAGTGGGAGGAGTCTTGGTTCAGTGCTTGTTTGGTGTGTGCTTCTTGGTATGGCCGGGGTCTTGCCTTAAACAGGTTGATTGGCATTTTGGCAAGCCACACCCATCTCAGAGGTTGTGTGGCTCCAGGGGTTCACTCCATCTCTGATGCTGTGCTGAACTTGTGATGGAGCTGGATAGGAAGCCACATGAACCAGACATTCTCAAACCAGCAAGGTTGCTGCTAGGAGTTCCTGATGCCAGGCTTTCCTGTCTGATGGTTTCCACATCAATTTGGTTCATGCACAGTTCATGGATGGCTCCCAGCAGAAAGACATGGAACTGTTCTGATTATCGAGGGATGATGGTGTGATAGGCTTCTGGGTGTGGTGGGCTTCTGAGTGTGGGCAATAGGGAGTGATAGGGAGGTGGGGCATGAAAGTGGACAATTGTGGTAGAGAGATGAAAATATTGGAGAGGTAAGGCCTGTCTTGCTGCTGCATTTTGGGGTTGCTACTTTGCCTGAGTGTATCCCTGGTGGTCTCTCTGCAAGTAGGAGCAGCATTGAGATCTTGGGACTGCAGCATGGCTGAGCCTGAGGTATCTGAAGCCCAGATTGGTGGGATAGAGACTGGGTTTGCGAGGGCTAATCTGGGTTGGTGATCCAAGAGACTTAAACACAGAGCTGAGAAACTGTTGAACACTGACAGAGACAGTTCGACTTTCCAGAAAGATTTATTTTATTTTTTGATTCACTAATCTCTCTACCATATTTGGAACAGGTTGTTTTTTATGCATCAGTGTGTGGAC